GGGCTAGGTGGCTCACACCTGTAATCCCAGCACTTTGGGAGGCCCAGTCTCTCTCTCAGCGATTCACCTGAGGTCAGGAGTTTGAGACCAGTCTGGCCAACATGGTGAAACCCCATCTCTACTAAAAATAAAAAAATTAGCCAGGGGTGGTGTCGTGCGCCTGTAGTCCCAGCTACTCGGGAGGCTGAGAGAGGGGAATTGCTTGAACCCAGGAGGCAGAGGTTGCAGTGAGCCAAGATTGCGCCACTGCACTCTAGCCTGGCAACAGAGCAAGACTTTGTCTAACAACAACAACAAAAGAAAAAAAAAAAAAAGCATGGCGTTGAAGGTAGTTACGGGTGGAAAACTTTGTATTTTTATTGCTTGATATTTATCACAAATAATACTATTTAATTGCTTTGTTGTCAGTCAGCCACCATACAACCTAAGGAAGACCCCAGAAAACAGCATTTATAGGATACATTTTCCCACAAGGAAGCTGCCCTAATTCTCCCTCTAATGATATGACACTTTTTTTTTTAAAACCTGTAAAAGGGAAAGGTGTTTGGAAAATGGAGAGGAACTTCTTCACCTTTAACATTCTTTGATTTTCAAAAAGAAGGTAATGACCCTCACACAATTATAGTTGCTTGAGGCCTCAGTTGGGAAAAAGCCTGGACATCCTTGTGCACATGACTTGAAGGAAGCATTTTCAAATACGAAGAACAAATATGAACAAATATGAAAAAAAGAACAAATATAAATTTATGCTTTTTACTGGCACAAATTGTTTGTGACGAAATCACAGTAACTTGCACATTTTCCAGGTGGTCATTTTAGTTTTCCTGGCAAATATAAGCACCAAATACAAACAACAAAGAAAAGAGCGTCTTTCAAGTAGGAAGCAGGAAGAACCAACAGTGAGTGCATGAAGATATATCGGATTAATACAGCCACACGGAAACAGGGACAGAAGAGGATCAGACAACCGCAGAGAGATACATTTTGAATTTGGAATGAAAATAAAGCAAAATGGATTCTTCTCTTTCTGAATCCTTCAAAGGGCTGTTAACTTACATATAGCTTAAGAGCTGAGTCTGTGTTTATTTGAAAATAATATATTTGTGATATTTTGTGAGACAATGAATGATGTGGTTAGTATACAGGTGACATTAAAACAAATCCTTGGCCGGGCGCAGTAGCTCATGCCTGCAATCCTAGCACTTTGGGAGGCTGAGGCAGGCAGATCACGAGGTCAGGAGATCGAGACCCTACTGGTCAACATGGTGAAACCCTGTCTCTACTAAAAAATACAAAAAAGTTAGCTGGGCCTGGTGGTGCACGCCTGTAGTCCCAGCTACTGGGGAGGCTGAGGCAGGAGAATTGCTTGAACCTGGGAGGCGAAGTTTGTAGTGAGCCAAGATCATGCCACTGCACTCCAGCCTGGGTGACAGAGTGAG